TAAACCTCGCAAATGTCCCACATTTATTATTAATAAGGTAAAGTATAACTCATTGAGTGGGCAGCACGTGCAACATTCCACCACTAAATTACTGTCTTAGATCGAACACTGCCTATGTGTGCTTTACACTCTTTTAATTCTTCTCAAGAAACATGTGGCCATCTTCCCACATACCATTACAAACTCCCCATATTTGACCTGTGTTCATAGAATCAGTGCTCAGTGGTGTGTAAGTAACTCATGACAGACTCTGTCCGTCCGTCCGTCCGTCGGTGGCAGCCCAGCCGGCAGGTGACTGCCGTCCGTGAACATTACCTAGCCCGCGGTCACAACTAGGCCTAATTTACTCTCTTATTTGTTAACCTATTCCTTATGTATTTATTATAGTGTATGTGTTATTTACCGAAAGAAATATTCTAACTGTGTATACCTATGTAATAAAGAAGTATGTAAGAACACAACGAAACGTTGGGTGGTATATTATTAAAGATCTATTAGCCACTGAGCTTGAATTCGTGAAGTTGATAATTACATTAACACCCATTCTTATACAAGGCTGTAATTGCTTGCTATAATTATTTTATTTGTTCAGTAGTCGGTTGGTACCCTGGGAGATATCTTCAGGGAAGTTGCGTATGTAAATATTAATATGAATATTTAATAAAATGTATATGATGTACCATCAATATAAGCATATTATATGGAGGATTACACGTAGGTGTAACGACTATATCTACATACACTGTATGTCATACAGGTGATGACGCACTACATTATATTACACATACCTCTATATACAACATATGAAGAAGTCAGTCAAATTACTTCTTGACTGCTTTTCTAGAAACGAACTAGCCACATAGTCGTTTTGTATTCGGGAAATTAGGTACAACATATTAGTGTTTTGAGGTGAAGTCATTTGACCCACTTCACTTTATAATTCAGGTAACTAGGCATTTGTTACAATATTCATTAAATTATAACAATTACGATTGTGAAAGTTTCGGCCTTACAATTGCTGGCTGCGGTCAGGGAGTTATTACAATCACTATTGTTATGTATTGTTACCGAGTCGCTGTTTATTTGCTTACAATACACAAAAAGAAACCTTAAAAAATAGCAGCTTTTTCCTTTTCTAATCATTATTTCCCAACCCGCATTGAGCAAGCGTCGTGATTCATGCTCAAACCTTCTCCGTGCGAGAAAAGGTATTTGGTCAGCAGTGCACTTATACGCTGTTGATGACGAATAACTATTTTAGTGACGTCTGTCAAGGGGACAAACATTTAAGTACTAAGTTAAATCAATACTGTAATTTGCTAGACAGTATTTCAAATGAAAATAAAGTGAAGGTATCTATGTTAGTTGTCAATAAATAGAGCAGGAAGAGGAAGTGATACAGGGTGTGCTCACGCGTCCGCCGTAACGTAACGCGAAGCTGAGAGCACTCAACTTGTATTACCGACACACTCAGATCATACTAAACTTGGATACGGCGGTAGTTCTTGTATTTAAACCTTCAGTATATACCCGCCCCGGCTTTGCACAATTATTAGTATAAGATAAAGCTCTTCTATATTATGCATATGTCATACGTATAAACGTTAAATTACTCTATTTAAAAAAAACACATCGCTTCAAAACCTGTCGCATAGTTGTAAAGATCTAAACATAAGGACAGACAGACGACTTTATTTTATATTATGTACGGACTAAATCAGTAAAAGGTTGGTTGGTTGGTAAAAATAATCAATAAATTCCTCCTCTACGTTGTACACTTATTTTAAGAAAGACTAGCAATTTACACATCTTCAGTTTCAATGATCGGTGGCTACAAGACTACGTCGCTACGCCGTAGGTCGCTACGCCGTAATTCGTAGCACTGCTACGTGGCTACGAGTTATCATGTTGCATTGTGGTCTTTGTTTGTTAGTGGAACTGTAACCTCAGATCTTTCTAGATATTTGTGATATGTCGAGTCTATTTCAATAAAGTAATAATTGTAGATCAAATTCTTGACTAAATCTCTAATTTTTTATGTTACTGTTACTACTGAATACATTTTTTATTTATTTTACGCTATACTTGACTTCATGTACGCTTTTCTTTTTCTTAATTTTACACAAACTTTAGTACCTAATACGTTTTAATGTTTGTAACTGAAAAAAGCTGACGTCACTTTGCTGTCTGTAAATCTCAGTGATTAGATCGAAGCACTAGCGAGGGTTCCTCACTTATCTCGTCGCCTGAGAGAACACACTTAGTCTGTCATTGTGGTTGTTCACAATGTTCATAATGTTCACACTCCGCGCCCTCACACAATACCTCACATATACAACTGACGAATTATATGAGAGCGTGGACAAGCCACGGTATGTAACTATATGTAACTATATGACTGATAGTATGATATAGCCGTTATTGATATAAAATATAGTTCGGAAAACCTTATCATTTCGAATCATTATAAATTAGTTTTTTTTTACCAAAAAATTAGCTTATTCTGTAATCTAGAAATGTATCAAATATAATTGCAAGATTCAATTGCAGTAAAACAATCATCGGACAGATGAAGCTATAGAAAAGCTTTATAAATAAAATTCATTTTTTAATTAAACAACTTTGAATCTTAGAGTTGGTATTTAAAAATGTACAGAACAACGGAAGCTAACCGTAACATTATTGTCGCGGAGAACCTAACGGGTAACCGGGGCTCCGACTCGACGTGCAGGAGAAGGAATGGGGTGGTTTTTAGTCAGTAAGAGTCTGACATTCCCTCCCGCCTCACCCAGGCGGGAGCAGTCATTCGAAGTTTTTTCCCCTTAAAAAAAAAACCGTAACATTATTAATATTAAAAAAACCGTAGCTCCTATATTTTTTTTTCTGTACAATTTTGTTCTATCTATCTATCGTTACTAATAGTTGAATAGTTTGTTGCGGTCCGACAAATGGTGGAATTTTTTAATTGTCGAGCAGACGTTGCGTCGTGTGGGAACGAATGTGTCTCCTCGGGGAGGCTTTACTTGTAAACCTATATCTCGTAAATAATGGGCCGTGTTTATTGTTACTAACACTGAATTGTAAAGTTACGAGATCTGTATTGGCTTCGTGAATTTTGTAAGTTTTCATTTAAGTAATACTTAAAAGAAGAAATATTAAATATTGCTCATTATTAAACCATCACGGTTCATGTTCATTATCATGATTTTCTTTTAATTTTTTAGGATTTTCACTTCTTCATAAGTAAGAAAAGTATGACATTACAAGGTTTTTAGTTTCTACTTAGGCTTATATTCTTAATGTCGGAAAACGCAGACGTAAATCAATCTGTAGACACAATGTAGCTCATACAAATATTATTTCAACACGAAACATTTCCAATCAATCACTCAAGTAATAACCTTATAATAATAACCTAACATAACCCTTTTCAAAAGTACCAAAAATAGTTGTACAACAAACAAAACCGATCATTTTGTGGGAGACCGGCGACGTCGCCTACATTAAACATTCAGCAGGTTACAGGCGAAGGTTTCAGCTTCAGCACCATTTTGTAAGCAAGGCCTTTGTAGTACAAACTTAAATATTTCCTGCTTCCTCGTCTTTGTGCGTATCTTGTAATATTCAGCGATGTTAATGCATTTTACTGTAGCTATTTTGGTATTGGGTTGTAGATGAAATATTTTGGCATAACTTTGTGTACATTTTGCATAACTTGCTGGGAGTTATTAAAAGAATAAGATGGAAATATAAATTATTACAACTTAAATATTCTTCTTGCCTTTGAGTTTTACGATCTTGAAACTGAAACGACAGAAAATAATCTTATAGTCATTGAGTACCTAACGGGTTACCGGGGCTCCGGCTCGAAGTGCAGGAGAAGAAACGGGGTGGTTTTTAGTCAGTATGAGTCTGACACTCCCTCCCGCCTCACCCAGGCGGGAGAAGTCATTCGACGATTTTCCCCCCTTAAAAAAAAGTCAAAGTCAAACCATTTATTCCAATTGAACCCCCATTTGGTTCTTATGAAACGTCAACAAATACAAAATAAATAATAATCTGTCAGTCTGTCTATCAGTGAAGCTAGTGCTCGTTCCAAAATGTACCTCTACATTTAAATTAAGGAGAACGAGCGAGAAACACTATTTGTTACTCCTATCTATTCCTTATCGACATTGATAAAATTATTTTTTTCTAGTTTATACTTTCCACATATGTCTGTTCTCTGTGTTCAACCTTTAACCAGATCCGCGCACATTACATTATACACTGACAAGTTATAATCAGTTGAACAAGTCGCTAACTCACAACAACTTACCATGCTACGCCTTAGCGAAGGCTCAGCCGCCTTCAACACGCCGCCGCGACCTGTCGAGAATTATATTCCTGTTATTTGCCTGTACGCAGATATTAACAAAACATTGTTTCCAATATAATTACTTACAAATTGTTTTAACTAATTCTGTTTCTACTATACGTTTCCATGTTTAATTAACAATTTAATTGCATATAGCTGATTTCGATTCCAACAAATAATTACACAGAATTAAGCCTCTACTATTTACTAATTACGCGCTCTATCAAAGCAGGAAATTGCAATATATACGCTATCAGGCTGCTCTAAAATGGGTGCATTCTGTGGATTATTAGTTATTTAGGTCTCTCGCTAAGAGTCAACCAGTGAATTGGGTCAAACTAGGCGGCCGTGGCCTAACAAACTGCAGCGGCTTATTAACGCCACGAAATGCTGACTGTGCTATTAACTGACTTGCATAGGTTTTGTACCATGGTAAATTGAGTAAGATCGGTCAATGATACAGCGTCTATTGTATTGAAAGTTCTTTAATACTTTAACTGCCAACTTTAAAACGATGAAAGTCAAACCTCCACTAGCGTCAGGCACCGGTGACTGACATGGCAGTCTAAGGGTTAATGATATAATTGGTTACTTTCCGAAAGCAAGAACCAGTGTTTAATCATATATCTTTGTTCCTCCGCAGGGTATATTCCGTCTAGCGTGTGAGCACGTGTTGCGCACTATGCGACGAGGGCGTGAGACATTGCTAACGCTGCTGGAGGCGTTTGTGTATGATCCGCTGGTGGAGTGGGGCGGCGCCGCTGGTTCCGCGGGTAAGCGCCGCTGTACCGCGCGCGACGTGCGCGCAGCACTCGCCATGATGGCGGTGCGCACGCAGGAGCTGGCGCATCACTTCACTGAAGTCACGTGAGTAAACCTATGTAACAACTATGACTCAACAATCCACGATAAAATCCAAATAACGCGCGTCGCTATGCCGTAGTGGTATGATCCGGTTTTTATAAATGTATGTTTAGACTGGCAGTCAATGTGTGTATTTATGTACCTACGTCTGCATACTAACTTTCTAATCTGACAACAAGTGCGTCTTTACGTATCGTAAAGACGCGTCGACGCGGCTACACTATGAAGATGTACATACATTTAGTGCGCATTGCTTTGTTACGCCAGAACACACGACGCTGTGCGCCTTGCCGGCAGATTTACGCGCCGCAATAAATACAACGCGTTATCTGACGGGATGCTCGTCTTAAAATGCATTTATATAGATTACTACTAGGGATGAGCCAAACAGATAGAAACAAACGTAAAACGTAAACAGTAAAAACCTGCTATATGCATCAGCAGACCAGTATCATCATTTCGTTTTTAATTCATTGGGTACTTACTATACGTAATATTTATTGTTATAATCGTTGTCAATATGTTTGTGGTATTTATTAAGTTTCGTCTGCTCTGATAACTCACATCCCTATTTATGAAATCAATTTTCAAGTGTATTTATCACTCTGCGTTAAATTGAAAGCACTCTCAATCCGTCGACCGCAATACGTTAAATATATCGAGGCCAGTTGATACCGCGGCTGCCCAATACACGCGAGTACAACAATATTGTTTACTATGAATGAATATTGTTTAATAGTTCACTGAGCTGACTAAACAAACAACGTTATCAACAAATATTCTACGTATATAGATAAAGATGTGACAAGCCGACCGTGTATCGCATATTAATCGAGTTCACTATAAAACACGAATGATTATATTTTTTGTTGTTCGTGTGATATATGGTTGAAATACAAGTGCGTGGAATGGATTTATCTGAAGCTAGAAGTTTAATTACTTAGTATCCTTGATGGATGACTGCTACTGTGCACAATTTGTACGTGAACTTCTGATAAAATTCTTACTAGACCTGATGGTAAGCAACCGGCGTCGCCTATGGACACCTGGAACACCAGAGGCGTTAAAAGTGCGTTACCGGCCTTTGGGGATTAGGACTTTGAGGATTGTTAGTGATTCAGGAATTGGAGAGATTGGGGAGGAGGGGCAGAGGCTTGGGCCACCGGTAACCTTACTCACGCGACGAAACAACGCAAAAAAACAAGTGTGAAACAAAAAGAAGTCTGCAAAGAATATTACTTTCTCTCACAAAATGTCATGTTGTCAACTCGATTCATCGCTCTCGCTGATAAAAACCAAATTTATAGTTGTCGTGTATTTATCTAATGTTTCGCATCAATCTGTGTTATCCGAAGTTATTTTTTTAAATAAAACACCGTTCTCACTTCCGGTTTCCTCTGAATTATTAATATTCCGCATCCAATATGCTTCATTAACAATTCATCGTCGCCTGTGAACCGAAAGCTCTCAAAGTCAATTTAATTTTGTTTCAGAGAACAATTCCTAGCTGTACTGCCCGATATCAAACAGTGTGCTGAGAAGTGGCTGAAAGAAAACGAAGAACTGAAATCAGTAGAGACTCGCTTACAGGACTGCCACCAGCAGATGGCTCTTATTAAGGAAATAGAAGCGTATGGACCAAATCTAAACAGTCACCCATTGTACGCCATCTCTCAGAAGTACTCCTCTTACAAACATGCTAAGAACGCCGTGGAGGACTCGATGAAGGCGTTAGTGAAGATACTTAACGAATTTGATACTCAGATAGAAAACTTCGCAACCACTACGGAAGCCATCAATGGTCCACAACTAATGGCGTGGGTGCAAGAATTCTCTGGCACCGACGAAGAGGAGCAACCAATCTTTGAACATATTAAAGACTTCCTTACTAATGCTGGACAAGCAGCCATGATATCGCAGTGCGAACAAGCGGAGACAGAACTGTATCAAAGCATGAAGCAGACCCACCATCTTGTCAGGTCCTGCCTCGAATTACTCTCGCAGTATGTGGCAGTGTCGCAGTACTACCCACAAAGTCACACCGAGTACCACCGCGTGCTGGTGTTTCGGAAATTAGTAGCTGCAGCCCTGGAGAGCAAGTCCCCTGAAGTGTGCCGCGACGTCGCTAACCAAGTGGCAGCCCTGATCAATGCTGAAAACAACAAGAGTGACACATCGCAGCAAATCATTAATTATAACTACCGTCTGCAAAATATGAATGTTGAAGCGAATGCTAATCTGACCAAAGCTATAGAAAGACTGCAGTTGGAAGGGGGTCCCGATGCGCTGGCTTTGGCTCAGGAAGCTTATAGAGAGGCCAAATCTAACATTAGTAACTGGGTGAGAACGGAGGAAGGCGCGGGAGAGGCGCTGGAGTGTGTTGTCATCGGCATGCTTTGCAACCTGAACAGGAGATACCTCATGCTGGAGAATGGAGCCCAAAGCGCAGGGGATTGTCTCGTGGACTTGACATCTAGAGAGGGAGAGTGGTTCCTGGATGACATGAGCACGTTGTCCATGCAAGCTGTCGAGCTGCTGTCACTGCTACCTTTACAATCCGCGTCGGCTGAGGACGCCGCCATGCCAGTCGCAGTAGAGTGCGTCCGAAACGCGAACCTGCTCCTCGCCGACCTGGTTCAGCTGAATTACAACTTCAGCACCATCATACTGCCTGAAGCGCTGAAGAAGATACACTCTGAAGATCCATCTGTGCTATTGATGATCAGTGAGCTGAACGCGGTGATCATGAACTCCCCGGTGCCACTCAACGAGCTGCTTTCGCAGTTGGAGCTTCATCTTAGATACCTAGTTATGGATATGGAAGTGAGTTTCATTTGGATATCTAATATATTTTACCTCATTAATACCAATGAATTTCTGTATATTAATTTATCGATTTAACACAGTCCCCAGCGAGCTCGGCACCCCTACTAGCCGCCGAGGTGCGGTCGCGGTACGAGGCCCTCCTGTCAGCGCCCGTGAGTGAGGCGGATGGCCAGTCCTCCGGCCGCATGTTGTTGATGGGCTTCAACGGACTCTTCGCAGCCGTGGAGCTGCGCGCCAGAGAGTTGGCTGATCACCTCGCGATACCCATCCCTCCCGCCTGGAGGAAGATCGATCATATCAACGAATCAATGCATATGTCGGTGAGTGTACACTTATACAATACAAATGAGTGAAAAGTTGGAAGTGTCGCAGTTTCTAAACATTTGTGGGACGGATGTGTTGCAGGCGGCGCTGCAGAGCGCGGCGGTGCGCGCGGTGCTGGAGGACGTGTTCCTGGTGCGGCGCCTGCAGGCCGTGGCCGAGGTGTTCGCCATGTGCGCTCAGATGGCGGCCGCCTTCAAGGGGACCGGCCCGCCCACTCTCTTCGATGATACTGCGCTCTGCAAACCTGTCAGGAGGTAAGGTTACTTTCTATCAAATTGTATTTAAAGAAAGAAATAAAAACTTTATTTCACACGCTAAAACAGGTGACATGTACAGATTTTAGGTACACATAAATTTACTAATACCTACTAATGTCCCAAGTCTTCGGTGAAATGGGACCTGTTCAGCATGTGCAAGGCAGGGCCTTGCGCTGGTATTCTACTGGCCCCTTAAGTGACTCGCGGACGAACAAGTCACCAATCAGACAACGATAAACAAAGCAATTTTCCCCACAACACAAAATAAAATGCACATAACAAAACAAATAAATAAAAACAAAAAAGCAAACAAAAAAACGTGTAGTTAAATATAACCTACCAATATCCATAAAAAAAACTTAAAATAATAAAATAAAAAACACAGTGAATCGGAGCATCTTACCGCCCCCGTCACCCCAGCAACCATAGTCATTCCATGGGATTGAGATGGCGATAGCAAGCAGGCAAAACTGCGGCATTACGCTATACGCCATTTATTGTTGTACATGTAATTTGTTGTTCATATCAGTGATATATTGATGAAAAGAGAAGTATTTGGAGAGGTGTGTCGTCACGTCAGAATTGGTGTAGTAGATGAAATATCATACCATTTAGTTTATGCATTATTATGTTCATGTTTTCCAGGTTCACGGCAGAGTACGTATCTCGCTGCGTGTTAGGCGTACAGTCGAAGGCACTAGCGAGCGTGCTGTGTCTGTTACTGCGTCGCGCCAACCTCGACCTACACGCTGAGGTCGAGCAGAAGGAAATCGGTACGTGTATAGTTGTTATGTATCATATAGGTACAATTGTCGTTTTCATAAATGATCTTAGTTATTCAAAATTTGCGACTGCCGGGCAAGGGGTCTTGGGTTCGATTCCTGGGTCGGGCAAAGTATTACTGGGTTTTTAAAAATATTGTCAGTAATAGCACGGAGTCTGGAATTGTGCCCGGTATATGGTAATAGGTTCACCCCCTATTACATGGGACTCATAACATAAATAGTGAAAAGAGGGTGTTACATTGTACAGTGGTATAACGTGCACCTCTGCCTACCTCATCGGGGATAAAAGGCGTGATGTTATGTTATGTTATTCAAAATTTCCAGATTCTGGTCACAAGTCGTTGAAGAAGAAGTATCAAATAATGTAGGGACTATATCTTATGTCTGACATTTTTTTAATATCATGTGTACTGTATCAGGAGCATCGTGGAGCGTATCCCTAGAGTCCCTATGCGAGAAGGCGCGGCGGCGCGCGGGCGGCGGCGCGGGGCGCGGCGCGGGGCTGGCGCGCGCGCTGCAGGCCGCCCGCGGCCGCCTGGC